AAACCCAATCTCAAAAGAGGCATAGTCCAAAACCCTTAACTATCAACTTGAGTCATATTTGTTGTTTAATACTTGAGTGCAATAGAAACACTTGAACTTTTAGTGAGCAACTGGTTCTTACACAGAGCATGATGACTAAATGATGAGCAACAACTTTTTGGCTGGGGTATGACAGTATGACATTAAACAGCTCTACCTTAAATTTATTAAATTACAGGTGGTTTTAAAACTTAAAAATATTAAAAGACAAGCATTCTGACTGTGACTGGGATTGCCTCTCCACAGATCTGACCTGTACCTTTGCTCTTTATTGACCATCTTTATTTGAATTATGGTGGACTGGAAACTTGTTTTATTAGTTAGGCAGCCTACTAGATAACCAGAGCTGAAAGTAGTTTTATTTTTTGTTAGTACAATTACATTTTTGTTTACATCCCTATGATTATGCTATGATTATGTTCAAATCAGGGTCAAGCTGATGAGTCCATTCTAATGTGAAAGGGGGGAATGCTTTGAGAGTTATAATAGATTTGACATTTGACTATTTTGATGGTGTTTTCTTGTTTAAAAGTAAAACTACTCTCATTTAATGTCACATTGAGAGAAAATTAAATTGCTCTGAGGCCTCGACCATTAGTGACACTGAGGGCAATTGGTTGGGGGACCCTCCAGATTCGGGGACCCTAAGTGGCTGCCTATTTTTGCCTAATGGTAGCGCCGCCTCTGCTCTTCATGACGATAGAAACATTTACTATCACTGTGAAACATTCCAGGCAAAGCAAAGCATTTGACGGACCTTCCACCAAAAAAGTTACACAATGCACCTTTAAGTGTTGCAGCCGCAGCCAGCACACAAACCAAATGATGATGTCAATATTGTTATGCAATTCACACACACACAGATCAACACCAGTGCAACATAACAGAGGTGGACTTCTGTAATTGAGGTTACAAACCAATACTCAGAAAAGCATGTCTCAACCTTAGACAACCACTCAAAAACAAGGAAGTAGTCTGGGTCAAGTAAAACACACCAGAAAAGTCCAATTTGAAACAAGACACGCCAAGAATGCAGAGGGTATGACTTCTACATATGGTCATATTGAGAGCTGTCATATTTATCAAATTATAAATCCATATATCCCAAAATAACCCTTCTCTTCACAGTAAGTGCTAATAAAAAGTGAAAACTGTTAATACAAACAGCCAAGAATTACAATGAAATCTACAGATGGAAAACATAAACAGCATAACTACCATGTATAGAGCTATTCCCAGGATGTTAGTTTTGGAGTAGAGAGACTGTGTTGCCCAAGAATAGTGAAGGAAGTTCCAAGAAGGCACATAGCTGGGTTTAAGGTCGCTCGGGGCCTGTCACATTGTAGCTGGCATCAACCTAGTGCCAGGGCAGAACAACACTTTACACAACGCCTTCAAATATCTGTTTAACACTCACAAACCACACAAGAGCTGCATTCAGGCTCACCGTGGCCGCACAGTGGGGAGGAAATGATGACATTTTGCAGAGCTGTCAGTTTATACATCAGGGCTATGGTGGCCTGGTGGAAAATTATTATACTGCAAGCCATTTATTATGTTTGTAGGTAGAGTTCTAAAACAGTATGGTCCTCCTGGCTCAGCCCTATTGCCCCTGACAGGCTGTCCCGGTAGCACTGACTGAAGTATGGTTCAAATGCCGAGCAGAGTATATACCTATGGCAGAACAATATGACAAAAATAATAATAATTTAAAAGAAATTACAGAACTTTTTATCATAGAGTAGATATATTTCTTTCTCCAAACTCTGAACTCAGGACCTCTCGATTAAAATGGTATTTTTATGAAAACGATATGAAAAAATATAATCGACCAGTAGTATTTCTAAGTGACCAATTACGATTTCTCCCCTATTTTCATTTTATTTTCCTTTTTACAGCACGAGTCTTCTTTAAAACTGAATTCATACAACATGCACTGCCATAACTTTTCAAGGTCCAAATCATGGCTTCTGTGTGGCAGTTGTAACGTCTGTTGACAGTTTCGCTGGCATTGGGGAAACCTTCTTTGTGTAACGGAAGATGGCTTTGTTAAGAGCGCTGAATTCGGTCCAATTCTCAGATCCAGCAGGCTTGGCTTGTGGACGCTTGGATTGCTCCATGCTAGCTTAGGCCAAACAATGGGACTTCATGTTCGCACAAAAATGATCAGAGACACTCAATTGTAACAAAGTACCTCACTGCTACATTTTTGTTTTGGATCATTGTTCATTCTTTTCAGTAATCTAAAATGCTATTGTGAAAGAGGTTTTGAGGAGAGCAAAATGGCCACCTCTCCATGTGAAAAAGCCAGGCACATAAAAGCTCACCGCCGCAGGTCTGTTTGGTAAGTGTTGGCAATGCGATCGGTTGCTTTGGCAAATGATCTTCCTGCCAAAACAAACACTTAAAACGCCCATAGCACACAAACGCACATAGTCTTACTACTGGAGTCTTGCTGAAGTGGCACTTGGAGGGTGAAATATTCAGCTATTCAAAGATATGAGAGGAGAGAAGCCTTCAGTGTTCAGCGTTGTTGACCCAAAAGCCAGAAAAGTAGCTGGAGCCATGGGAGGCCAGCGTTAGTAAAAGAGGAGCTGAAATAGTGATAAAGTGGAGTTAGATCGCAGGCAAGATTTTTAGTATGTGCAACTTAAAGTCTTATATTATGCGAAATTGACTTTTGCTGTAAGCTTTAAGACATTTTAGAATGCTGTTACCTCGTTAAAAACATGAGTTGTGTTTTGTTTCATTCACACGCGTTTGAGTAATCATGCATTTTCAGTCTACATCCTCAAAACTCAAAATGCTTTGTTCCAACTTGTGATGTCATGAAACAGTAGCCTTCACCTGTTTTTTACTCAACATTGGAAATTGAAATTATCCAAATGATTCTAGTGAAGGTGTATGGAGTTTAAAAACACAATGGAGCACTTCCTGTATTACCGCATGACATCACAAGGTGGAACAGAGTGTTTTCTGTTTGAGAGAAGAACTCAACCCAAATATGCAGGATTTCTGTGTTAAACATGTGAAAGAAACAAAACACAACGCTGGGTATACTTTAGATGAGGAAACATAATTATGACCAAGATCAGAAAATAGCCTAATAGCCTAATGAAATTTTACACAGTATTCCACTTACATAAGTTAACCAAAAAAAAAAACCTCTAGAAATTGAGTGGCATACAGTCCCATGATTTCTCTAAATTCTTCACATTACTGAGCTGAAAAGATGTAGCCGTATCATTTAGTACTTCAGTGTTTCAATGCTCCACCAGAATGCTCTTGAATAAATAATTTAATATTTAACACAATTTATTCTTTTTGCATAAGCCACAAAAATAAAGTGACCTTGAAACCAGCACCAGGTTTGTGATTCCTTTGAAATAATAGCTCAATTATAATATTAAAAATAAAGTGATCAAAGAAAATGCAAATTGTAACTCGTAGGAATGTTCAAAAGACATACATTAAATATGAAAACGGATCCAGGTAACAACTGCGGCAAAAAATGAAATATCATAAACCGTTTAAAATATTTTTCAGAAGAAGTGACTACAGCCTCTTCTTGCTCTGCTTTGTAAAAATCCATACAACCACTATTTTATATTTTACCAGTGTCAGAATGGTCAAAAGTGAAATGCATGTACTCTTCAATCAATAGCAGAAAGTGGTTTTACATTCCCCTCACAAAGCAAACAGTGAGGTCAACTGTGTGGAGTTAATAAGTTTGGCTCAAAGTGTTTGAGTTGTACGTGCAGCGGTGTGTGCACAGTGCTGACCCTTGAGTCTAAAGGCACACCTCGCGCTCATATACCAAAAGACTAGACCATGAAATTACATACAACTTTCTTCTCTATTTACTCAAGTCATACCAGAGGCAAGCCAGTCACTTTTACAGAGGAATTTACAAAGGGGAGCCGGGTTCATCTGCTTTGTCTGCTGTGTTTGCACGGAGTGGTTCTTCTGGAGTGGGAGCTCTGTCCGTCCACACCCAAGCTCTGTTCACGATTTGGGCCATTGCCACTACTAAAGGGTGAGGGGGACTCTCCTTTGGGTGTGTCCCTTTCACCTGTTGGGTCATGCTGTCAGCTTTCGTTGTGTTTGGGCATATTAGAAATTCAGATGCACCCAAGAAAGGCTGGTGATGGTTGCTTCAGGTGAGAATGAAAACAAAGCAGATGTAAGTATGTGACAAAGGCACCCTGCTAACTTTGCCCCGCTGTACAAGGAGACCATCTGTTCCTGGACACTGGCTTTACAGTGGGTAAAATCCCTGTAAGGATGCAATGCAAATTAAAATACAGAGCTAACAGGTACAGAAACCAAGTCATTTATCGTTGCCCAAAATGATATTTTATATTATATTATATTTTACCAACTACTGTCTCTGCATACTCCAATGCATCATGCTGTTCACAAGGCACTACAGAATAGGCCGGAAATACAGATTTCCAGATGGAGTTAATGAAACTAGCACCAAACAACACAGCTACACAAATCACAACTATTCAACACGATTTTCCATTTACAAATATTTTGACTATCCACTGTAGTAGACAGTGAATCTTTATTCTAATTCCAACTCCTTATTGTTAAAATTTTAATTACTTGACACTGCTACTGGAACAAGTGACATAAGTATTGGCAGTATAATATATAGAAACAGTATAATATATAGAACCATGTGCCAATTTGAATGTCATCATATGACTGCCTCCTGCAGCTCTCATCACTCTACAGAGATGGTCATTGTGGTTTGTAAGATGAGCTTCAAAGGCAAAATATGCTTGAGGACATAAGTGTCACAGTTGACACGTGTATTAATAAAGTTTATTACTCTTATTCCTTTGAGAAGATCTTTTGATTAAATAATTGTTGCTTCATTTAGACTTTAGAGCAAAGTAATCTTGTAGAGACTTGTAATTCTCTTCAAAATAAAAGTAGTCTGACTAATCAAATTATTTTCTTAAACAAGGTTGTTTTTTATTTAGATATAGATCAGAACGCTATACAAAAGCAGATGATAGCCCTTGCTGCCCTTTTCTAAAACACAAACTAGAGCAAGATGAAACTTTTCCAGCAGGCGCTCACATGGCGACGGGCAGGTGACCAATATGAAGCCGTATGGGTAAAAGCGTGGCGTGACTCATGCCTGGAGGAGTACACTGTGGCAAAGCACTTTAAAAGCAGGAGTTTTGTTCATTCATCCTTCAGGACATCCCAAGAACAGTATAGGGGAATGGGCTTTGAAGATTTCAGTTGACCCCAACTAAGTGTGTGTGTGTGTGTGTGTGTGTGTGTGGCTGAAGGCCCAAGGGAGTGACAACCATGAGGAAGACACACTGTGAGTCCTGTGATAGCCGTATGAGTAATGCCTCCCTCCTCTCTGCACGGACATGTGGTTCAGGGCCCTTAGTCATCCTCCACACTTTCCCCTCCTATAGCTACCTCTCCCAATGTCTCCTCTTTGCCGAGTCTGTCTCCTTCTCCCGGGTTAAGAAGATCCAGGCCGTCCCACTGGGAAACTCGACAGACTAGCCTCGCTCCGATGACTCATTCACCAGCATTGAGAGTCCACACCAGCCCTGTTCTGCTCCACTCCCAACAGCCCACTCCACCACACCCAGGCGTTAGAGCTACAAGAGAAATCGCAATCGAATCGAAATTGGAATTTGAATGGATGAAATGAGCAAATCGCAAGGCTACAATTTCTGAAATCTGTGAAATTTTGTTCAGAAATTACATTCTTGTATTAGTTTGTCAGCTTATATTTCACTCTTTTGGTATTTTTTAGTTTCAAATGTGAACTTTAAACAGAATCCTATTATTAAAAAATAAATCGCTTGTCAAAAAAGTAATAATAATAAAAATAGAAGTTACATATTTTTCCCAAATTGTTCAGCCCGGCATGGAGCGCAGTCATCTAGCCTCTCCTATTAAACCTAATGTCTACATTTCTCAGTCTGCCTTCTGCTCGCTAGAATAGTTAAGTGTTACTTAAACTTTTGATTTAGTTCTAGTCAAATTCGGGTTTGTTCCTGTTTAGTTCATATAGTTGATTTCTGGTGGTTTAGTCATAGTCCTCTTTAGACCTGGTTTAAGCTAAGTTTTACCGATTCCCTCATCCATGAGTCTCAGAATAATGAAAAATTAGGAAGACCATAGCGATTAAACTAAAAAATATTATATCTTTTGGGTTTGACAAAGTCCTCATGTTGCATATAGCAGAAAGCCAAAACCCATGAATAGACTTGGTTTACCTTGTAGTTAGTTAATACTTGTGCGGACCTGTTTTCATGCTAGTTTTGTCAAGAAGACTTTACCAAAGCTATCAAAAGGGGTAGGATAGTTGACTAAAGAAATTCTTGGTCAAATAAAGACATGCCCTGTGTATCGCTTAATCAACTAAAAGGGGATGCGGCAAGGCGCTGGCAAAAGCTCTTAAAATTATTAGGATCTTAGTACAAGTAAAGTACAAATGAAAAGGCAGATTAAACTCCCCTGTCATTCCAGACACTTAATCTAACTCACTGCATGCAATCACCTTTCTGTTGTGATTCATATCCATCCAATCTCTATATATCTTCATAAAACATTTAGTAAATTATAAAAACTTTGGTCAGCTAAGACTCCATCAGCTGATTTATAACTAAGGACTGCAGTTTTACAAAATGGACATCCAAACTGTTTTGTGCACCCAGGCGCTTCTGATATGGTCCTCTGTTTCCTTCACCATCAACCTCCAGTTGTATAGCCCTCTCCTGTATATTGCCGGTAGTCTCTCTGCTTGCATCTGCTGTCTTGTCAAAGCGTCTCTTTGTTTACGTGTCTTAATGCTCCCATCTGCCAGCCTGCATTGCCACAGCCCGTACTGTATATCCTAGCGCTCAGTGAGTTTGTTTGGGTCTACCCGGCCTGTCACTCTACCTGTCTATCTGCTGCTCAGCCTGTTGTCTTTCACAGTGTCTCTTGGTGTGGAATAATGTGCAGTCAAAACAGCGAAGGAGGACACAAGATCAGCTCCCCGGTCGGCATGTCAAACTATAGAGACTGGACAGTTACATTGAAAAAAATGTAGCTTCTCTTTTCACGACAAATGATACATGACACATCTCAAAATGTTTCTACAGGAGGAAAGAAAGGTTTTGTTACATAAATGCAACTTGTTCTAGATTCATGGAAAGATTTTGAGATTAAAAGCATCTGAAAGAAATAATAGAAACATTTGAAAATACTATAATTTTCTAATAATAATAATATGATATATACAATAATAATTGGGTTATAGGGCATCTTAATGAAAATATTCCCAGTTAAAAAGTAGTTATAACTTTCTTTTAACATTTTTTTATTCATTGTTTTAGGCAACATTGTGCACACTGCCCTACTTTTAAGAATCACGAATGGTAGTAGTTATCGTGGGGGTAAAAAACACATATACAGTACATGCTTGATCATTTAAAAAACATTGATTAACTAATGAAACCTCAGATACAACAATGATGTCAGTCCCTACATGGAATCCTCTGCATGTGGCACAGATTCGTTGACCATTGCAAGAGCAATAAGGATTTTTAGGGGCATTATGACTGGGTTAATAAAACACAGCTGCCCCTAAAAGTCCCTCACTTTTCTTGCTGCCTTTTCGTTCTCTCTCTCTCTCCCTCCCTTTTCCAACTTAGTTTCATTCCAAACTTTTGAGATCAAACTACATGCGTTTTCTGGCTGCTCAAGTGAGACGCACACACTTGGACTGACCACAACATTTAGGTTTGAACTGCGCAGAGAAACCTGGATCTTATATTCAACCAAAGCTGCTGTGTGTTTGAGTATTTATGAATTGTATGTTTGAAATAGCAGAGTTTTATTGGGATTTGCAGTGACGTTTTAACAGAGGGTGAATGGGTTCAGAATGCCTTTTCTAAGAAGGAGCGTGGAGAACACAACAAACTTTCACCTTACCACGACATTTCTACAGCCTCTTCACACTGTTTTATTTGAGCTTTTAACATGTTATATTTAGGATTACAGATTTAGGGGTGCTGAGGTCCTGGTGGAGGTCTGACTGAGCCAAGTTAAAACATTTCAGTTTAGGATAAGATATGCTATGTGCAGAGATACTGCCTGTGATAAGACCATCATGGAACTGACTACTTTGTGAGGATGAGGATACCTTAATCAAAGCAACAAATGCGCCAAATTACCTCAATTCAATACATAATATGAACAAATTACACTTAAAGTATGCAATCAAATGAATTAGCATTGCATTTATTGTAAAGTATAAAGTTACACCATGCTGCTTTAAATGCAAACGTGGTAGAAAGAAGGGACCAGATTTAAAGGAAATTGTTCAAGGAAATTGTTCATGTTCATTGTTCATTAATTGTGCTTTTAGTTTGTCTCTGTTGTAGAGCTGGGATTATCTTTGGTGGTTACATAGCTCCCCTTAAACGTGTCCAATCTCTAAATACAGAATTATACACCTATAATAAATAAATAAAAACAAACATACTTGCTTTGGGGAGATTAAGGAGTCTAAGTGTGATTTTAAACAATGTGAAATGCCATTGAGAAGAGCCTGGCAGGGAGCAGCAGACAGCACTGTTTAAGATCACTATTTTAATCAGCAGTGTTGATCAGTCTCCCAGAGCTGCATGTTGCCATACAACCTTTTCAAACCAGGCTCAGGCTCGCCATAGAAGGGTCTTCTATCTTCTACTGACTATAGTGAGAGATGAAAGCTGTTTATCTGTCTAGGGTGTATATGTGAGCATCAAATTAAGTTACGAGAAAATACAAGAAAAACAAGTGCATTAAATAGATCTGAATCGAAGACTTAAGTGAAATTTTGTGTACAGTATGTTCAGTATTTTTAGACAGTAAAATTGTACCAAATGAATTCAAATGTGTTTATTTAGACTGAATATGTTTTACTCTTTAAATTGTGACAGAATAAAATTTTCTTATGCTATGAACTCTATCTGGACAACTGAGGGATTACGCATACACAGTTGGTATCTTCTGCTATATGGGTCCTACAGAATAAAACTTATGGATCAAAACAGTAACAGTTTTACCTAAAGTTGTTATTAAATGTAATTAATGTTTGTTGTTGGTGGTTTTGTTATTATGTTATGAGTTTTTAGGGAGAAACATGCAGATCTGGAGTAAAAAAAACCCCCAAAAAACTCTAACTCAACAGGCGTTTCACCGCAATCGTTCACATAATGTAATGTTTTTATTAATTGTCTGGTCTTAAGTTTGAAAATCTAAATCTCATGCTCCAGTGAATGTCTTACCTATGTGACACTTGCAGCACGGAGATGCCACTGCAGGCCTCAGCTCTATTAATTACATAAAGCATCTCGAGTCAGGATGCTAAATTCATTAGCGAGGTATGTTGGGCATGCTAGGGTCAGTACAGATATAGAAACGGCTCTCCAAAACAACTCCTTCACCACTTAACACACTGGTCCCAAATAATAGTCATCTGATCAAATATTTAAGACTTTAAAAAATTGTATAAAAGTTTTTTCTATTGGTTGAAATATCTGTGTAGACTCTTGGCAGTTCAAATATTAAATAAAAATATTGTTCTTATGGAATAGGTGCAACTTTAAATAGACCTACTTTTGTTTTGGTTGTGGCCTATTTTCTAGACTTCCTCAAAGAAAGGCAGAGAATAAATTGATTTCTTTCAATAACCATTTATCTCAGAGCTCACAGCAGAATGGGGCCAGCTGACAAATGTGCTAAGATTTCTAGAAGAAGCCTAACAAACTGTCATGTGAAACTTTGTCACCACACCACACGCCTCTGACCAAATCTGTAATTTTTTTTATTTTTATTTACAACCTACTATACAGCCACCATCCTGTGAATTACTAAGTTACATATAAAGTGTCCATAAAACTGTATTTCTTTATATTTTATTATTAACCAATTCAAATGGTTAATATTAACCTAATGTTTATTCACATTTTTTTTTGTTTGAGTGATATGCCTTACCAATTTTCATACAGCTGAACTGAGGGCTCACGTGGGCCAGAAACTGGGACTTTGTAGGCCAGTTGAATAAATGAAGTCACCTTGCCCGCAAAGACCCAGGCTCGGACGCACTCCTTCACGTTCTCTTGAGACAACCACAAACTCCAGAGCTTTCTAACAGACAGAGGCTCGAGATTCAGAGTTAATACGTACCCTGCTGAGGCTGTGCCCTGTGTGTTACCTGAGAGGCAGGTGGTAGCATCCGGACAGGGGATGGACACGAGCCGTCTGTCTGGAGGTGATGAGCAAGTTCAACTTCTTTAGCGCTCATCCATGACCACCACAGTGGCCGCGGCTGCAGCGTCGCGTAGCCTGGTCATTTGATGTTGCAAACATCCCTAATTGAGCAAGAATATCCTTTTTTAGAAAGAAGAGGCGAAATGAATGTCTTTTGAAGTAAGTGCCCCTTAGTCCTTATATGTGCAAAGGGAAAAAACACGCAGACGCAACAGTGTCTGGACTCCTCCAGTCTGCCCCCTCCCTTTGCCCCCGAGAGATCCCAGTGCGCTCCCGGTACCAGCCGGCCACTTCCCAGTATCCTTTCTGGAGAGACAGTCGCAGGAGCTGCCGCCGTCATACAGCATTATGAGTAGGATATTCCCAAACAGCTGGAAGGAGCTGATATATGGTGCTGCGCCCTCGTGCTGGGCCCTCCCCAAGATGGACCGGTAACCTGGTTATTTTCAGCGTGTCACTGGCTCGTCTCCAATTCCACTGGACAGGGCCCCACAACCGATTTGAGAAATAACTTAATATCGATTAAGATGGGTAGTCTCGGAGCCTTAGTGAGTAAAGTGCACTCATTCCTGTGGTGTTGTCTCGGCGGTCGGCACGAGGCGTCCACAAACACTCTTTAGCCAAACTGAGCACGTCCTCCGCGGCTGCGCGTGTCTCGTCTGCCGCGCTCTCAAGGTGTTCCCCTCTTTTATCGATACTGCTCAGGGAAGCTATGAACAGCCCAGGTTTATCACACACCTCTTTCCTTGTGCAACATGCTGGTGTGCTGCGGCCTCTGGTGGCAGTGATGCGCCATGACGTTTCATGGTAGGGACTGTTTAACACTTTGTGGGGTCAGACGCACGCTCCACCAGTCTCGAGCTTTAGAGACTCGTGCCTGTCAGCTGCCTCAGTTTTGACATAAAAACTTCATAACAATAGCACGTACCACAATAAAATACTAACAACATGAAAAGAAGCCGTTTAAAATCACAGTCATCAATAACCTTTGTGAAAAGTCAATTGTGTTCCATTGTTTTTGGAATGTTAGTGCTGCGTTAACTGTGTTACTTTAAGATTCTTTTATGCTGAAGGGTTTGTCCGGAACGCTGTGTTCGCCCAGACTCCAGGACGCACACTCCAACAATGATCGATTCGGTGTCTGTCATGAACATGCCAGCCTTTGTCCACTTAGATCTAACCTCACTTAATTCGAGGCCTGCCCGATGTTGGTCATTATTCACGCGCGTCCAGTAGAAACTCATGCGCAAAGGTAAGTTCATATCAGACTGTCAGCGTCTTAACACGGGGCTGTTGTTTTCAGACCAGCTTGTTCTGGGCTGGGCCGTTGTTATTACCATTCTTTCTTACAATCCCTTAAAGCTGGTGTGAAGTACGAAATAAACAGATGAATACATAGATGGACGTTCATGGAATATATAAGGCTCTATAGTATGAACCACAATCCAAACCCACTTTGTTTATACAGATTATTTTATAAACACTTTCCAAAGTGCTGCACCGAGAAAGAAAACAATAAAATGGTCCATTTGTTCTTACTAGTCTTAAACTACTAAAAACTGTAAAATCTAATAAAGTTCAAATTAAGGAAGTTGGCCTACAGTAGTTTTAAGCCGAGTGATTTCATGTGTTGTCTCTCAAAGCAGTGGGTGCAGCCAGCTCTCCAAATGGTCTCTCCGACCATAAAAGCAGTGGTGGATGCCGTGTGGGCAGTGTGGAGCATCGGCGCCTCCATCTATGACTACATCAACACCAGCGCCATGGAGGAGCGCATCCACGCGCTGGAGCACCTCATCACCGTCCACCAGTGCGTGATCGGCCTGCTGTCTGCGGGGGTCTTTGTGCTCTTCACATACGTCGTTTTAAAGAAGATTTGAGAGACCATAAACAGACATTCTTGTGAATTTATGCAGTAATATAAATGAAAAAATAGGACTCACACGAGCTTTTTTTTTTTTTACAATACTGTACTTTGATACAAAATAATGACAGGAAAGATTCTCTAACTTATTTGTGTATTTAAGATGACAAAAGAAATTACTTTATTAATAATGGAAATAACTTGACTCATAATGACTTAAGATTTAAACATAGTGGCTTTCAGGATCCCCAGAGTATTTTACATTGCATTACTCATTCACTCCACACACTGTGATGACACCAGCAATCTCTCACAAGCCCGGCATGGTGGGTGCCATAACCAACAGTTTTATGATGAAAAGGAACATATGGTGATACAAAGATTTGAATTTTTATCAGTAGCAGAAGAGATACTTTTTACATAAACATTACATCAAACCAGCAGTGGGCAATTATTTTTTTCCCCAGAGGGAATTTGAATCCAGTCCTGTGGCAGAGGGCTGAACCAATGCAATCCTTGGTGTAACAAATGCTTACTGCTTGATGCTGATTACATTTTAGGGCATGCTAAAGGTAGGGGGTATGTAGGATGATGTCTTATTGCTTTAAAAAGGAACTAAGCAACACAACTGAACCTCGGCTTCAGTGTCTTACCCTTAACTGGTTTGGCTTATTCTCATGAAGAGGACAGGGTGTTATGAGACAATTTAAATTCATTTTCAACACCTTTTACTTGTAGGATCTGGCAACCTAATGACTTTCTAATTGGACCCAACATGTACATCATGTACAATGTTTCTGCACTTCTGTATAAATCAACATTACAGTTACCAGTAAATTCATAATTTTATTTGAACCTAATTTCTTCTTATGAGGACAGAGATAAAATCCTACATACCTTTCCTTTAAGCAAACTGCAATTAGTTGTATTTGTGATGTAATAAAAGTTAATTGATATTTTAGTCTATGAAGTAAATTAAGATTAAAAAATTTGTAAAAGTTAAATAATATTAATTCTGTTTTAGGACCATCTATGTGAAGAACTGAACATTCCAATCAGTACCTCAGAGCACACGTAAACAAAGTGTCCTTACCATTTATAAATGTATTTGCTGCCTAGTTTTTGCCAATGACAATTTAAATAAATAAAATAAATGTTTGTGCATTAAGTAAAGTTCCTTAAGAATCAAAAAAAATGCATTATATGGTTGTGAATTCATTTATTGTTTCCCTATATGCAGAACAAGTATTAAAATAGTAAAATAGATTGCATTAAAACTATTAAGATGCAAATTCTGTGGTTCAAAGCAAAAACTATGAAAATGTGTTTTAAAATATCAAACAAATATTCACATGAACTTACAAACTGCAAACTTATAATTCTAACTGTAAACCATTTTATTGATTGGATGTTACAAGTGTCCAGTCTGTATTAAAGTGTACTTTGAAGTAAATCGTTCCACACTTTCTCCCTCCAGGATCTTCATGGCTCTCCAGTGGATCTTGCCACAGTTCTCCGGCTGCCCCAGTGGTCCCAGCTCCTCCTGAATGTACTGCAGCCAGAGATCTTCAGAAACAAACAAAGCAAATTCAGTGTTTCCACAAAATACACACTTATTCTTCTGACTTTACATAAAACACCTGTACTTTGTGAATTCAATTTAAAAAGGTTTACGTTTAGACTCCTTACCATCATCTGAAGTGCCAAACTCTTGGAGGGCTCTCTCAAAATAGTCTCTTAAATAGTTTATTTTAGGCGTTTCCTAAACAGATACATTGATTAACAAGCTTAAGTTGCATCAACAAATACAACGTTGTTGTTAAAACTTGAGTTTTTTTTAAATTTTTTTTATATGTAGTAAGGTAATTCACAAAGAGTGCATACGTACTTGCTCTTTCTCTATTTCAATCATTCTGGTGAAGAAAGTTCTGGACAAGGGGCGGATTTCTTGTAAGCTAGAGGAAGAAGTTTTTTTTTTTTTAATATGTCAAAAAAAAAAAAAAAACAAGATAAATTATATGTATTTATTTCTCTGTAGGCCGTTCACCTGGTAAAGGTTTTCCTTGCTTTCTTATAGCCCCCAGTGGAGTAAGACCAATCAAGAAAGCGGTCTTTCATTTCCATGGCAACAGTCGGTACAGTGGACAAAAGGCCGCGCTGAGGAAACAAGAAAACATAGTTTTAAGGGAGAAACTTTAAATAGTTGAAAGTCCACATGACTTTTAGTTAGATGATTGGGGGATAAAAAAAAACATTTGGGACATTACCTTGAAAACAGTTTCAGTCTCTTCAGGGTCCTGGTTGGCCACACTCCACTGAACCTGCAGCTGCCACAGAGGCAGACTCTCCTGCTCAAGCAAGGACAAATGAACTACTTAAATGCAATACAGCACAGAACAGAAATGTGACAGATTTTTTTGCTATTAAACTGGCTTGTGGTTGCTTTTACATATTTAGAACTACTTCATTAGAAACAGTGGCATATTAATGACTAATTGGAAGTGCAGTCAATATTTAGTTTGTATTCTTCAGATTCCGATAACCCATCAAAATTGTGAATGCCTTTGAAGTTAGGAGCAATTATTACACTTATCATGGACTTCTCCTTATACTCTGTTATTACAGCTTTAAAAAACATTTTGTTTATATCAACATCTAATTTACCATTTGTACATCACTTTTAATGTTATCTAGATGACATAATGGGCACATCTAGAGTGCACCCAAGTTAATAAAAAAGCAAGGAGATACATCTAGTAATTAATCCTTTTAAATATGCAACATTACCACTAAGGGCTTGTGAAAGTATTTTTTATAGAGTGTACCCTTTAACCACTCTACAGTATCACAATGAATACACTGTTGTGATGTGAATATTGTGGTAATATCCATGATATATTGTTACTTTAATTTTAATTTTAAAATAATGGTTCAATTTAAAAGGACTAATTTGTCTTCTTTCTAAAACAAAGAAAGTTGCAGAGGGTATTTCAGTCTCGACTAATTGGGTCAAGAAGCTGGCCCACTTATAGTACACTCCTCCCATGGGACAACACTTGCTACTGCGACTGTGGGGGGCGCACCATTGTACTGCAGTTAGGTCAGATATTAAAGATACAATAATTACACACCTTAGGATTAACCTTTGTGAGTGCTTCCTGGAAAAGCTTGTCCACATTCCTGCTTCCGAGCTGCATTAGTGTCTGAAGACTCAAGCTCCACATCGGCACTGATTGGCTAAACTGCTGTGTTGCTGCCATGGCAACACTGGCCGCTCCCTCAGTGTCTCCGTTTGAAAGAAGTATCTGCAGCTAGTAAGATCAGAGAGTAGTTTAAATACATGTACAAATGATAAGACTATATGTTAACTGAACAAAGCTGTTAGAAACTCAAAATAGAAGTGCTTCGAATATAAATCTTACTCACCCAGTTTTTGTAGTAATTTTCTTTCAACATTTGACAGTTGTGGGCACGCTGCAGTACATCCATCAGTCTCTCTTGCCTCTGTGAAAACAACAAAATACCCATAAAGAACTAGTTTAGTACTAAATGCTACCTTATGTGTACTTTTAAACTCCCTAAATTATGAAAAAAGAAAGGTTAAATTCAGGAAAAAGACTAGCAGTTATTATTTTATCTTATTGAACACAGTACTCACCTTTTCTTTCAGTTCCTGGACATTTGTTTTCCTTTTTTGTCTTTCCAAGCAGAATGACACATAGCAGGTCCACATAGGCTCTACAATCGATGCATAAGTTCACAGTTCAGAACTTCATCTATATCCACCAGTGTAGTATATGCGTTTCTAGTATTAACAGATCTTACCTGTGTTTAGATTCTTTATTCCTTCCTCATAGACTTGGCAGCAGCGTTCTTCTCTGCGGTTTATGTCTGAGGCCCGTCCTTTAGCAGACAGAAGTTCCTCCCCTGCCCCAGGAGCTTCTAACTCTCTCTTTGCCATGAAATCCCAAGTCACACTGTCACCAGTGTAATTAGTCTGTAAGCTGCAACATAAAAGGAGACAAGAATTTGTAGATTAACAAACTCTAAACATGTCAAGGTCATAAACAAAACCTACTCTTGAAAAATTGAGTCCTGGAGTTCTTTAGTGAAATTAAAAATTGCTGCAATATTTAGAAGTGAGATGACAAACTCTGCCTCTGTAAAAGAAAATGTGTGTGTTTATTATTTGTTTCTATTCAGTAGTTCATCATTTTATTTAAAGAAAAAATATGCAAACCTTTAATTTTTCCTGTGGCATCTTTGTACACAACTTCAGCTAATTTACCATTCAGGATTTCAGGTGAGAACTCATAATCACCCTAAACATGAGAATTAAAACTGCATCAAAGTTGTAAAATGTGAAAAGAAAATTGTTTATTATTTATACAAACCAAGTCCATCTTGGCTTTTTCCAGCTCTTCCTTCTGCTTCCTCAGCTTTTCACAGTGCAGCAGCTCCATGCGGAAGTACTACATTGAATAGAATACAATATAATAGAAACCCTTTATTGTCATTATACAGTATAATGAATTTCAGAGCTGCTCCGTCAAAGTGCAAGAATTAATAATAAATAAAACAAATTAACATTTCTCATTCAGTATGGTGACAGCTTTGGGGAAGAAGCTGTTCCTGAGTCTATTGGTCCTAGTTGGAATTGACCTGAAGCGCCTGCCAGAAGGCAACAGGTTGAACAGGTGTAATCCAGGGTGTGTACTGTCTTTAATTATTTTCCTTGCTCTGCTGTGACAGTGGGAGTTGTATAACGTGGTTAAGGAAGGCAGAGGGCAGCCAATAATATTTGTGGTTGTAAGCATAGAAAATTAGTAAGGTGTGGACATTAAAATAAATAATTTTAGGATTAATATGCAAGATAGTATTACCTCTTGGTACACCTTCTTGTTATCTGGGTGAAAGCGCAATGCCCTAAGGAAGAGATGTCTGGCACTTTCAGAAGAATCACGATCCTCCAGCTCACTTTTGGCAGCCATGATCCACAGTGCTAGACCAGAAAAAATAATTAACATTTTTATTGGAGAAAAATCACACTGAGGTGATTTTAATACAAATGTTTGTTAGTACCTGGTTTGTCAGGATGGATAGCAAGCATGGCTGAAAACACCTTGCTGGTTCGAGCTTTAGTTCCCTGAAAGAGCATACCTAATGATACATCAATGCTTTTTTTAAATGTTATTAAAATGTTTACGTACCCATTTCTTACAGAAAGCTACATGTGACAGCCATAGCTGTACATCATTCTGTAACACAAACCAAACAGACATAAAAAAAAAAATCATATACCTTTAATTACTTACATTATTTATGTCCAAAGCATATGTACAGTGTGTTGCACAATTAGTTTTATTGTTTTACATTACCTTCCATTTATTTGTTGCTCTTTTGAAAATACCGTTGATTCGGCTGATGATGGGAAACTCTATTTCTTCTCTTTTGAAATTGTAGCGAATATGCTAAGGAATATTAAAACATATAATTAGAACTAAGTAACACTTAAGGAAAGCAATTTATTGAAAATATGTTGAAAACTTACAACTCTCCTCTTCTTGATAAGCTCCAAAACGTTAATTTCATACTAGGAGTACATAATATATTATTGTCTTCTAATAAAGTAGAAATATATGACTCAAATTCCAGTATTTTACCTGGATGTAAGCAATGAAGTCCTCTTTGTTTACGATCAGTCTATGGAGTTTATATTCCAAGGCAGTTACTCTTTTAATTAATGATCTAAAACAAAAAATGTACACTGATCATTATCAACTTGAATCCTCAAGTTGCTCATTAAATATTTATTATTACGTTTAGTTTTGCAAGTAAATAAATCAATGCACTTTGCCAAATCATTCATTTTTATTTTAAAAGTTTTCTGATGTCTTTAACTTACTTGACTTCTTTTTTAGTGAAGAGCCCCACTCTCTCCAGCTGCTCCAGTTCAGGGATTCGCTCCTCTATTCGCCGCTGCACGACCTCCGCCATCCCGACTACCAAACAAACACGTCTGATAAAACACTTTTAAATGTGCGATGTTGGTTCATGTAATTTCGTGGCAAATTCTGAGATTTCAGGTTTGGAGCGTTTTCGCCAACCCTGCTTCTACCCCTGTGCTCCCACCATACACATGGGTGGAAGTTGTGATTGGGTGCATTTCCTGTGCAACATACAAATTATTCCGTGAGGAAACTAACCAGCCTGGCACATAGGTCCATAGAACTATAGGTCTTATGTATTTTTGCAAGTAAGAATAAAACGTTATTTAGCTTAAAGTAGACGAAACATACAATTTTCCAAAATAATATGATTAAATTATGTTATTGTCTTTGAACTGTCAAACTGTTATCGTGTTTGAAACCGAATGTCAGAATTATATCTGAATGTGGATCAGTTTTCAAACGCTCCTGCACCGAAACATCTACTTTGTACATTTGTGTACTTTCTGTCTACTCTTATACCTCACTGGGTTCGCCACTGTTGAAGTACAAAGCTGCTGAAAGCGTTTGCAGTGTGAGCTGAGTTTTCTTGTCATCAGCGCCGATCATCTTAATTTCCCGCAAAATCGTGGAAAGCGAGAGCGGGCTGCATGTCACCTCCGGAGGCGAGCAGCCAATCCCCGCTCCGCATTCTCACGGGCTGGCTCCCATTGGGTGACAACTGACTAATGCTCTGTTGTTCAGTACAAACTGAAGGAGACATACCCGAGACTAAATTATAGACATACTATTGAACATTTAGCCAGAATACATATTTAGCTCCGGTATCAGTAACTACGCTTTATTAGCGGATACGTAAAGCCCAGGGACGTGTGGAGACTGTTGATTCTGCCATGCTAGCGGTGCCTGCTAACTAAGTTAGCTGCGTCTCGTCTGCTCATCATCTTCATGGGCCACTGCTGCTGAGTCTACAGGCTTGTGGCAGCGAGGCTACAACATTTATGCCATCAGCCAGGGTGCGTTATACCATTTTTTATCAACAAGTTCATAAATGATTTGATATAAGTAATACTTCTATGCAAATCAAGCTAGCGATCACGTTAGCATTGCTGAAGGAGTCATTTTAGCGACAGCGACTGCTAACACTGCCTCTGTCTACCATAGCCATGCTTAGCTCGGTATTTGTAATAATT